GAAAGGAAACCCCAACATATTATGAATGTAGCAAGAGCCTTAAATTTTCAGGCTAACTTACCCAAATTTTTTTGGAATTTTTCTGTACAACATGTTGTTCATTTGATCAATCGGTTACCAACTCCTTTGCTTGAAAACAGAACACCATATGAGCTACTATATAGCAAACTACCTCTCTTTATGCACCTTAAAGTTTTTGGTTGTTTGGCGTATGCATCCACCTTGGAAGCACATAGGACGAAATTTAATTCAAGAGCTAGAAAATTTGTGTTCATAGGATATAAAGAAGGGACAAAGGGTTATATTCTTTATGATTTACAATCCAAAGAAGTTTTTATTTCTAGGAATGTGATCTTTTATGAGACAAATTTTCCTTTTAATGATTCCAATAATTCTATGACAGATTCTTTATCACATGGTGTGATCACTAATTCACACTTGAGTCTAGATGCCATTGATTCTGAATTTGTTAACACATTACATCAATTACCATCAACTAAACTTTCTGATGTAGAACAAACTACCACAGAACCACCCAATACAGAACCACTTCCCCATACAGAAACCCCTCAAATAGAACCTGCCCTTACTACTGATTTGCAGCAATATTCAGAAAATGAGTTGAGACACTCCACTAGAGTGAGACACCAGCCAACCTATATCAAGGACTATCATCTCAGCTTATTCTCCAACGGCTTAACCAAGGCACCTTCTGGTAAAAATTCTTAGTGCACTACTCCTCATTCCCTTTCTTCAATGATTTCTTATAATAATTGTTCGGTTTCCTTTCAAAAATTTTGTCTTTCAACAAGTTCCTTACATGAACCAAAAGACTATAAAGAAGCATGTACACTAAAATATTGGAAAAATGACATGAATGCTGAATTAAAGGCTTTGGAAGAAAATAACACTTGGACTATTGTTGATCTTCCTTTGGGAAAACATCCCATAGGCTGTAAGTGGGTCTATAAAATCAAGTTTCATGCTGATGGTAAAGTAGAGAGGTATAAGGCAAGGCTATGTGGCAAAGGGGTATACCCAATTGGAGGGAGTGGATTATTTTGAAACTTTTTCTCGTGTTGCTAAAATGACTACAATTAGAATTGTATTAGCTCTTGCAGCTATTAATGGTTGGCATTTAGAACAATTGGATGTGAACAATGCATTTCTCCATGGAGATTTGCATGAAGAGGTGTACATGGAACTTCCCCCTGGACTCACATCTTCTCACCCAAACAAGGTGTGTAAACTCAATAAATCACTATATGGATTAAAGCAAGCTAGTCGACAATGGTATTTCAAACTATCTGAAGCCCTTTTCTCTCTTGGTTTTTCTCAGTCTACAATAGATTATTCATTGTTTGTGAAGAAAACTAATGGCTCATTCACTGCGCTTTTAGTCTATGTTGATGATCTTGTGTTGACAGGAAATGATATACATGTTATTTCTTCTGTCAAACAATTTCTGGATTCACAGTTCAAAATTAAAGATTTGGGGCACTTGAGATATTTCTTAGGACTTGAGATTAGCAGAAGCAAGAAGGGCATTGTTATGAATCAACAAAAATATACTTTGGAATTGTTGGCAGATTATGGATTGCTTGCAGCCAGAAGCACTCCCACTCTTATAGATCCTTCAACTAAGTTGTGCGCTACTGATGGCAAACCTTATGATGATGTTACTGGTTATAGGCGTCTCATTGGAAAATTGTTATACTTAACCACAACAAGACTTGACATAGCTTTCATTGTGAAACAACTCTCTCAATTCATGTCAAAACCAATGGATTCACACATGAGTGCTGCTCATAAGGTCTTGAGATACTTGAAGTCTGCACCTGCAAAAGGATTGTTCTTTTTTGTTGCATCTTCACTCAGAGTATCAGCTTTTGCAGACTCTGATTGGGCATCTTGTCTTGATAGTAGGCGTTCTGTGACTGGATATTGTGTTCTTCTTGGATCATCCTTGATCTCTTGGAAGTCAAGAAAATAGTCAATTGTTTCTCGTTCTTCTTCGGAGGCGGAGTACAGGGCACTTACAGCCCTCAGTTGTGAACTCCAATGGCTTTTTTTTTTCTCTTCAAGGATCTACATGTTTATGTTGCTTCCCTGCCTCAATTTACTATGATAATAGATCTGCCATTTACATAGCCCGGAATCCCACATTTCATGAAAGGACTAAGCACATAGAAATTGATTGCCATGTTGTGTGGGAAAAATTACAAGCATGATTGTTCAATCTTCTATCAATTTCTTCTTCTGCACAACTAGCTGACATGTTCACCAAAGCCCTGCATTCACATCCCTTTCATACAAACATCAACAAGTTGGGCTTGCTTGACATAATGGCTCCAACTTGAGGGGGGATCTTGTAATTTGTTATTTCATATTTTATAGATTGTCTAAGCTAGCTGTCATGACTTGTGCCTTATTCCTATTGGCTCCAAGGATCATGGAATCTTTTTTTTTCTCTGCTGTCTTATCGTGCTTTTGTCATGCTGTCCTATTGTCCTTTTTTTTCATTTTGGTTAGGATATTTTGGCTGAATTGACAGGGACCGATCCTTATCTTTTGAGTCCCTCCTTGTATATATACCTCTGATTATTCAATGAGAAAGTAAGACAGATTATTAAACCAATTCTAAGATGGTATCAGAGCTATCCTAGATTCTTAAAAACGGGTCACCCACCATTGATACATGCACCATAGGCTTGAGGGGGTGTATTAAGAAAAAAAAATCAAGTCCCGCCAAATCCTATTCCTAGATCATTAAAAAGGGCCACCCACCATTTATCCACGTACCAAGCCCAATAATGCTGGACGTGAGGGGGTATATTGGGAAAAATCCAAGTCCCACATCGACTAAAGATTAGGTAATTAAATAGTATATAAGTAAAAAACGATCCTTACCTTTCAAGCCGATTTTGTAAGGTTGAATTAGGCTTAAATTCACTATTCTAAGAGAAAACACCTCACCCTTTCAGGCCCTCGCCAATGCCAAATACTTTTGAACAAGGGGTGTGCATTGCTGATACGATCTAGTTTTAAAGACTTGTATGCATTTTTTATAGAAAATCCTCCATCCCGAGAGCCACCCCATACCAGCTGGTCTTCGTCATTTTCCACGTGCGGGGTTGCAACCCCCATGATCTCGAGCTGTACTGACCAGGGAATTAACTTATGGAGTTCCTCAACCTTCCAGTCACCATCAGTTGAAATAGTCATGTACCTTTCTATCACTCACTACTACATAATTATATTTCTCGTACATAAATTTATTTTATGTGTTAAACAAATGTTTATTCTCTCAACTTTTAAAGAATTTGATTTTTTTTAAGGGAAAGAATTTGATTTTTAGTTTATATATATATATATATATATATATATTTAACTTTAGTCTTCTATTAATTTATGCCACATAAATTAATATTTAAGATTAAGTCTCATTTATTGAGTAATGATATAAAATAATAAATTATAATTGACTTGACAATTGGTACCTAAATGACTTATTAATAACTAAATGACTTATTAATAAATATGAAATCATATGATACATGTAATTTTACTATTCATTTATGATCATAAGTGAAAAATTGTTTTAATAATATATTTTATTTTAAAAAAGAATAATTAACACTACAAAAAAAATAATTGAGAAAGCTGGTGGAGGGTGTGGTGTGAGAGTGAGACTGATGATGTGCGCTTCAAGAAGAGTCCTTGTGGCTCTGTTGATGGGGATGCTAAGAAGAAGCCTGGTCATGCTGTTTCCAAGGGGCATAAGAATTATGATTTGATGCTTAATCTTCAACTGGGTATTAGGTGTGTATCTTAATGTTATTGTTATCTTATGTTATCTACATTGCTACGTTTTTTTTTTACTTGTGGGAATCAAATACTAAGATCTTTGATCTACATTGCTACTTTAAGGTTGATTGGTGATCGCATTGCTAACTTTGATTTGTTTAGGTACTCTGTTGGGAAGCATGCTTCGGTTTTGAGAGAGCTTAGGCCTGGGGATTTCGATCCCAAGGAGAAATTCTAGACGAGATTCCCACTGGAGGGTTCTAAGTTTACACCTCCACATCAGTTAGTGGACTTCAGGTGGAAAGATTACTGTCCCATGGTGTTCAGGTATCCATATGAAATGAGAGAAGCATTTTTAAGAGAAAAAATATAATAAACTTTTCTATAAGCTAAAATTAGTTTATGTATTTGCGGATTACATGCTTGCTATTTTCAGCGATGACACACTGAGGGAGATGTCTTCTCCGGGTAAAAGTCGTGTTACATTTCTCATTATCTATTCTTTATTTGCCTTTTTTTTAAGGGAGGGGTGGGGCGATTGTGTAGGAAGGTTGGCCTTGCCTGCTGAGTCTTGTCTTAAATAAGCCAGTTTTTATCTGTGGATTTATGCTTTTAATTTCTTATGCAGGTAGGAGCTAATGTCCCAACAGAAAGTTTTGATTTGTCACCTATTGACCAGATTTTTGTTCGAATGGGGGCCAAAGATAATATAATGGCTGGCCAAGGTACATTTTTAACTGAGCTTTCAGAAACTGCACCAATGCTGGTAAGTTGTCCCTTTGAGTATCAACTTGTATCACTGGTAATTAAGGTTTAATAGGCATAAAATTTGGCTGCTCTCAAGTCACTAGAAAGCACCTGTGAAATAGTTGTATTTCAAGTGATGTTTTCTTCTTTTGAATATGAACAAGATTATTTGGTTTATGATAGACTTTTTTCTCTAAAATGTAAGCAGCAATGACACAACTTGGAGGAAGAAAACTTTTGCCTTTGCATTTTTTTCTTTAGAGCTCACTTATTTATATAGTTATATGTTTTGTCCGCAATGGATTAATTAGTTGTGTGTATTTCATGAAGCTTTATTATCCCTTTTATTTGGCTTGTTATGCGTCACTGATGTGTTTGAATCTGATCTTATTAAAGCATTGTTTCAAAAAAAAAAAAAAAAAAAAAGCCAGCGTCTTACCGTAAAAGCAAATAAAACCATAGCAATAGTAGGTAAATAAAGAACATACCATTGATTAACATCTCATTATGCATTCACATTTGGATCCCTAACCATAACCATAACCATAATCATAACCATAACTAGTTTCTCTCTCTCTCTCTCTCTCTGTTTTTTATTCTCTTTTCCCAAAGCACTCTTACTTCTCTTCCATTACAATTTACAAAGCCTTATTACCGTTACCCAATCCCAACGGCTTTCGAAACATGTAAACCAACCAACGCACGAAGAATGCAAGACACGCTGCGCACTCTCTCCGACGACAAGGACGCTCCGCCGCCGCCCTGCCGCCGCCCCCCGCGCCGCGTGTCTCCGGGCGCGGTGGAGCGCTCCCTCCCCAACGGCGACCTCTACTGCGGCACCCTCTGCGCCAACGCCCCGCACGGCGCCGGCAAGTACCTCTGGTCCGACGGCTGCATGTACGAGGGGGAGTGGCGCCGCGGCAAGGCCTCCGGCAAGGGCCGCTTCTCCTGGCCCTCCGGCGCCACCTACGAGGGCGACTTCGCCGCCGGCAAGATGCACGGCCACGGCACCTTCGTCGGCGCCAACGGCGACACCTACCACGGCGCCTGGCTCTCCGACCGGAAGGAGGGCTTCGGCCAGAAGCGCTACGCGAACGGCGACGTTTACGAAGGTTGGTGGAAGTGCAATTTGCAAGAGGGGGAAGGAAGGTACACGTGGAGGAACGGTAATGAGTATTTTGGTGAGTGGAGGAATGGTTGTATATCTGGTAAGGGCGTGCTGGTGTGGAGGAACGGGAACCGTTACCAAGGGTTTTGGGAGAACGGGGTTCCCAAGGGCAAGGGAACGTTCACGTGGCGCGATGGGAGCGTTTCCAATGGGAATTGGGGGAAGGAGTTTGTCATCGAGAAAAGAGTGTCGGTGGATGATGCTTCTAACAAGAGTGTCACTGTGAGTTTTCCCAGGATTTGTATTTGGGAGCTTGATGGTGAGGCTGGGGATATTACTTGCGACATTGTTGAAGCTTCTGTGTTTTGCGGTGGCGGAGGGTGTGAGAGTGAGACTGATGATGTGCGCTTCAACAAGAGTCCTTGTGGCTCTGTTGATGGGGATGCTAAGAAGAAGCCTGGTCATGCTGTTTCCAAGGGGCATAAGAATTATGATTTGATGCTTAATCTTCAACTGGGTATTAGGTGTGTATCTTCATGTTATTGTTATATCTTATGTTATCTACATTGCTACGTTTTTCTTTTTTACTTGTGGGAATCGAATACTAAGATCTTTGATTTAAGGTTTATTGGTGATCGCATTGCTAACTTTGATTTGTTTAGGTACACTGTTGGGAAGCATGCTTCGGTTTTGACAGAGCTTAGGCCTGGGGATTTCGATCCCAAGGAGAAATTCTGGACGAGATTCCCACCGGAGGGTTCTAAGTTTACACCGCCACATCAGTCAGTGGACTTCAGGTGGAAAGATTACTGTCCCATGGTGTTCAGGTATCCATATGAAATGAGAGAAGCATTTTTAAGAGAAAAAATATAATAAACTTTTCTATAAGCTAAAATTAGTTTATGTATTAGTTATTTTGTAGAAGTTTTTTGATCTATTTTTTAGCTTATACATAAATTAATTTTAACATAAAGAAAAAGCTTTTGGCAGTTTTTTTTTTTTTTTTCACATAGAAGTGCTTCTGGAGATACAGTTCCTCAATATTCAATACTTTCTTATTTTGATTGGTTGTGTATACTGTGTATACTATATACTAACTAGGGGTATTTGTTTGTTTAGACATCTAAGGGAATTGTTTGGGATAGATCCTGCGGATTACATGCTTGCTATTTGCGGCGATGACACACTGAGGGAGATGTCTTCTCCGGGTAAAAGTGGAAGCTTCTTTTACCTCACTCAAGATGACCGGTTCATTATCAAGACCTTGAAGAAGTCTGAGGTCAAGGTTAGTCGATAGTCTCTACTAGACTTTAAGATGCATTAATTTTGATGAGAAAGCTGTAGACCTATATTTAGTAAGGTGAGGTCTCACTTTCACTTCTTGGCCACCGTCCTTCTTTTTTTTTTTTTCTGAGGGTGTTCAATAATTAGTTGGAGGCCATGTCAGGTGCTCATCAGGATGCTTCCAAGTTACTATCAACATGTTTGTCAGTACAAGAATTCCCTGGTGACGAAATTTCTGGGAGTTCATTGTGTCAAACCTATTGGAGGTCAGAAGGTATGTTTCTATGTATATATGAATGAACTTTCTAAATTTAAATTTTGCTGCCAACTGGTGATGCTGTGTATGAATTGCTCGTAAATAATGCTATGAAAAAACAGACTCGATTTATTGTGATGGGCAATGTGTTTTGTTCGGAGTATCGGATCCATAAGCGGTTTGACCTCAAAGGTTCTTCTCATGGTCGCACAACTGATAAACCCCGGGAGCAGATTGACGAGACTACCACTCTTAAAGACCTTGATCTTTGTTTTGTCTTCCGCCTGGAACAGTCTTGGTTTCAGGAGCTTAAATGGTACAGTTTGTGCGCGGAGATTGGGGAACGAGCTGTACAGAAGCGGCAGCTTCGCGGAGGCGCTGGCGCTGTACGATCGCGCCATCGCCATCTCGCCGGGGAACGCTGCGTGCCGGAGCAACCGCGCGGCGGCGCTCACGGCGGTCGGGAGGCTCAGCGAGGCCGTGAGGGAGTGCCTTGAGGCTGTGAAGTTGGACCCTGCTTAAGAGACTTGCTTCACTTTATCTTAGGTAATTCTGTCACATGAAAATTTGAATTTGGATTTTGATTTGAATTTGAGTTTGTTGACATTGGGATTTTGAATTTGGTGTAGGTTTGGACAGGTTAAAAATTCGCGGCGGAACTTGTGTCTCTCTGGGATTCAAGATGATCAATCTGAGGAGAAGAAGCTGTTGTTGTTGGAGAAGCATTTGAATCGCTGTGCTGATGCAAGAAAATTTGGTGATTGGAAGAGGGCGCTTAGGGAATCAGAAGCAGCCATTTCTGTTGGAGCAGATTTTTCGCCTCAGGTACTTTTCGAATTTCTCGTTTTAACATTGTTTATGTTAGACATGTAATATAGAATATAAAATTGTTCACGTGTCTTCAGTTGGTAGCGTAAAATTTTAGGATTGTTGAGGTGTGATTGATTTCTGTTTCCAAAAGCTGTTTGGAGTTTTCAAAATGCAACTAAACAAGGTTGCTGAGAAAGCTGGTGGAGGGTGTGGTGTGAGAGTGAGACTGATGATGTGCGCTTCAAGAAGAGTCCTTGTGGCTCTGTTGATGGGGATGCTAAGAAGAAGCCTGGTCATGCTGTTTCCAAGGGGCATAAGAATTATGATTTGATGCTTAATCTTCAACTGGGTATTAGGTGTGTATCTTAATGTTATTGTTATCTTATGTTATCTACATTGCTACGTTTTTTTTTTACTTGTGGGAATTTTTTGTGTGTAGGCATAAGTCATTTTTCTTGTAGTGATTGACCATGAACGACTAGAAAAATTATAATTTAAGATCTATTAAGTAGTCACGTAAACATTAATGATTGAGTTAATCATGAATTTATTAATTCACATCATCGTTTAATAAAGGAGGTTTAATCCTAAAAATTAATCTATGAGACTGAAAACTAATGGAGGATTAAAGGTTGAAAAAAACACATTTAAGGACTAAAAATAAAATTCTTAAAAAGTTGAGACACTAAAAACTTATTTAACCATAAATTTATCTAAGATCAATCCTTAAAATGAATATAAAAAAAAATCAAATTATAGATACATCCCAATCAATGACTCATAAACTGAATAAAATACTTAACAGATAATTTTTTTTATAATTGTGATATTGACACGAAGTTTTCACAATTAAAAATAATGATTAATTTTGATTAGAAATTATACATATATACAAAGTGAATATTTCTCTTCTCATATAATTTTTTTTCTTATTCATTACTAAAATTTATATTAAGCGGTGGATCACGGGGTCGTGATGAAGATGAATACAAGAAATTCTCAAAGCTAGGAATTTTCGAAACATACAAAAATTGATAACAAGACATCACAATAACTTCTATTAAATTTGGTCACACCCTACCATTTGTATAACTCATCTTTTACAACAAACATACATAGCCTTCACACCAACCACAAGTGGTGATCATTATTCAAACAATGGAATATCATAAAATTAGTAATTGCCTCAAACAAATAATTAAACATTTAAACAATCCCAACAATAGCAGCACTGTAACCATTTTGCACATCATTGAACCTGTTCCAGAGCATGACACCACCATACTTTGGAGACTGTTTAATCTGAGGAAGAATCTGAGAACTCAACACATCAGCAGGCAAAAAGCCTCCACTTGGAACAGCAGCCTCAGAAGCAGGAAGCCCCATGAAGACCTGAGTGGCTGGCACTGTGATCCACTGGTTCCATGCGTTGATGAGGTTGTTGGTGTTTCCACTTGAGTATTGGCATGAAGGGTTGTTGTAGAACTGAACCCACACATAGTCAAAAACCCCAGTTTGGATGGCAGAATCCAAGTGCTTGTCTGGGATTATGCACTGTGGGGCTGCAGACAAGTACACTTTCCTTTGTGAACTGTAACCATTGAGTGCCTTGGCTAGTTCATCCCAATGCTCAACTCCACCAGCTTCTATGTCAAAGTCAATGCCATCCAAGACAGCATCACCTAATGGTCCTGATCCTGAATTGAAAAGATTAGTGCACACCAAATGTTATTTATATCAGAGAGAAGATGAGAAAAAAGAAGAGAAAACAATATCTGTATGAATATATGTATGATACACATGGTTTTAAACTAACTATTGTTAAGGTAGCAGTTGTTGCTATTATACTACTGCAATGCAGATTAGGATAATTGACGTGAAAATATTATGTTTACACTAAACTTAAAAAGCAATTCTATAACATTATAAAGCTCAATTAAATCTCTTTTTCCTCAATTTTCACTTCACACTCCTTAAGTTTTCTAAAAGACATTACACAATCTTTTAACACTGTAACTAACCTTCATTAGTCGTCTCTCTCCTAACATTCAAGATGGCCACAATGATTAGAATAGAAAAATATAAAGGTCGAATCTATATATGTTTATTTTTGACAAAAAGTGGAATAATATGATTTTGATGATTGGTAATATAATTTGATAGGACGGTAGAGATAGAGAGAATCTACATGTGTTGATGAATTGTTCAATAATGAGAAAAAAGTTATATACTAATGATATTAATCAATTTTATATTCTCATTCAGTCATTTAATTTTGAGTAACTAATTATGTGATAAGATTATCTTTTATAATTATTATTTTAAAAATTATATTAATGATGTGATTTCTAATTAGTTGTTAATATAAATTTCTTTTACTCATAGTACATGATTATTAAATCTTTAATTAATATGAAAAGTGTTAACAACACAATTTCTAGCATACTATTTATTATTTGATTGAAATTTATTATATAAAATTATCAAATAATATTAAATATAAAGTAAATCTTAAAAAAAATTATAATCTCTAATAAATTTCATGTAATAATAAAAAAATTCTTTAAAAGAGTATGCTAAAAAGTTATTGCTAGCATTTCTCTTAATATATAGATGTGTCTGTATATCATCAGATTTACCAGATTGCCCTCCAAGGAAATTTTGCCAGAGGTAGGAAGCAAGTTGTGTGGCTTCATCAGGTGAGTTGAAGGAGTAGGTTCCACCATCACCTCCAAGGGAGAGCAACACTTTGATGCCACGTTCTTGGCATGTCTTGATGTCACTGCTCAACCCTGTGCAGCCACTGGTGGTGGCATCACACAGTGGCCTGCAAGGTTGAGTTGTGGAGTTTGGCCATTGCCAAAAGTGGACAAGAATGCTATGTTCACAAATTGGTAGTTTCCACTGTTGCATGCGTCTGCTAAGGTCCCCTCTTGGCCATTTTGGCCCCAGTAAACTGCTATTCCTGCACTATGAGAATGCTTGAATAGGGAAATGAAAAATAGAGGGATTATGAGAAGTGAGGCTTTGTTGAGGGATTCCATGTTTATGTTGCTTGATCAATTTGGTTTGAGATCATGCAAGATATATTATATATGTACCTATTTATAGGTGTTATTGGAGGGTATGTTGGGGCAAGAAAAGTCTATATGGAACGTGCCATTTGGGTCACGAAACTATAACACCTCATTTATGATTGTAAAATTGCATACTAGGTCAAGAATCTTCCATTTTTTCATATTTGCTGAGCACTTTGAAGTTTGAACTAAAGGCTTATCACTAACACCTCTTTTAAAATATATACTTACTATCCATTATGATTATTTGATAAGTTTAAATAAAATTTGATAAAATAATCATATTTAAATGGAATAACTATGTATAATGAAAATGATAAGTGAATTAAAAATTTATATGAACACATATCATTGTATAGTAGATTATTATAAAATATTAGATTTTACGTCTTATAAAAAAATGAAAGTAGATAGACACACAAGTAATGTCTATCTTCGATCTTTTGCTAGTATATATAACTTAATGAGATTATTTTTCATATATTATCAGCATAAATTTCATTTTCAGATGATTTGGAATTATCTGGGATATATATAAAATATTTTTGAAGTAGTTTTAAAAATAAGTATTTCACAAGTTATGATTATATAATTTTGGAGAAATCTTCACACTTCTATATTCTAGTGCAAGTTAACTAATTTAAATATTGTGAGAAATTAACATAAGAGGGATGTAGTGAGCCATAATCTAGAAATACTTATATAAAAAAAAATAACAATTTTTTAAGTTAAACATAATTTATGCATAAATTAAAAAATTAAATATCTTTTCTAGAAAAAAATAATATACATAATTTATGCATAAATTAAAAAATTAAATATCTTTTCATTTGCAAATAAATTTGTAAAAACAAATAATTAATTATTATTACAAAAAAAAATCATAAAAAAATCTGAGTATCTTTTTTAAGAAAATTTGCAAGAAAATTGATATTTTTCTAATAACGAAGAGGGATGTGAACCATAATATCCAGAAATACTTATATAAAAAAATTACATTATTTTTTAAGTTAAGCATAATTTATGCATAAATTAAAATTAAATATCTTCTACGAAAAAATAATATACATAAATTATTTTAAAATTATTATAAATTGTTTTATTTATTTTTCATTTTTTTCATTTGCGAGTAGGGCTTCTAAAGAAACTTGTGAAAGCGTGCGTAACAATGTTCTTATTGTTGGTCAAATTAGGTGGAATATATGATATGGTACCTTGCCCCGTTGGAGAGGTTTTGAATTTTGAAACTGAAACATGGTCTCTGTGCGTGATGTCTGGGACTTGTGCATGTAGTATATAGGTTAGGACTTGTGTACCCTATAATTATGACTTAACAACTTGAACGTGTCCAACACTTACAATATTGACTATGAAATGAATTTTTAATTCGGAATAGAAAATGTTAAAAAGATTTTATAATAATTATGTATATTCTCATTAAATGTGATACCTCTAAAATTTATACCATCGAAATCAGTCAAGAAATTTTAAGTAGTGGGGGCAATATTTAAATACATATATTTGTCTAAATATAAAATAAAAATTTTTATTAAAAAAATACATATCATAATTGTTCTCTACGAGTTTTCATAATTTAAAAATATTGAATGATTTGCTCATTTTCAATATTATTAAAAATCTCTCTCTCTATAAGTAACTAAACAATCATTTAATCATTCAACTCCCATACGATTTCGCATCTAATTCTTGATAATATTTATAATAGAAAAAACTCTTTCAACTAATGTAGTTGCCACTAGTAGTATCAAGGTTAGTTCTAAAAGCAAATACTCTAATACAACATGTTTTCTTATCTCCACAAGCTTCATAGAAAGATCATCAATCCCTTCTAATTTTGAAAAAGCACTATCAAAACATACATCCATGAAATAATTTTCAAGTTGGTTATTTAATGCCAAAAGTTCAACTGAAGAAAATTCAGAAGAATAAAATTGAGTAAAATGAATCAACTTCTCCTTGTCAAATGCAAAAAATGAATTTCTTGGATTTAAACATGTTACACAAAGAAGCAACTCAGTATTTGCTTCTATGAAATAGTTGTTTAACTCTTGAAGTTGTTGATCAATCACTTGAAAAAATAATACAACTTGAAAATGATGTAGATTAGTAACTTGTTATACCCTACACCTTGACCTTCCTTGTGTTTAAAAAGTGTCATTTATATTTAGAACCACAATATGTTATGTTTTTCACAAAATAATGAAACATTATTGAACAAAGAAGACCAACATCACCTCTCATTGCTTGCAATCTT